ATAACAAACACAGGGGAACAGGAGTTGGAATTTGATGCTGCCTAAATGAATGATAGAAAACTTAGTATGTATTCCAGGGCCTCTACACTGGGTTTTGTGGGATCTTTTGTAGCTTTTTTTGCATTGTCTAATTTTTTTTCTCCATCTTTTATTGTGTATGAAGCTTGAGGGTTCCAAATGTTTCACTGAATCTATCATTTCCAAATATGCCAGCAATAAAAAAGATGGACAGACATTAAAGATACTTTAGAGACTGCTGTTTGTCTGGAAGCATGGGTTTTGTTCCATTTTGTTAATTTGTAAATGCCTGTCTTGCTTCCCATAATCATAAACAAAAGTGTAGTGTAGATGCTGCAAATGATAAAGACAGTTCTCCAAGGAATACTCTGTATGCTAACTAGGGAGTTATTATATTTTATTGCTGTCTGGCATATTCAGCAATGTCTTTTTAGAAAGAAAAGCACCAAGCATCCAATAGACATCCAACATCCATACAGAGCTAAATGATGTGGAAATTTCATGGGTAGGAATAAAAACTATTTCTGTTTTTTTGTACTTTTATATGAATAGAAAACAGCTGATATAAAATTGAAGTTAATCTTTGTAAGGTTTTGACATCTGATAGGAGAATAGTGCTTCTGAATACATGTAGTTTCATTGATGCAATTTTCTTATTCATTTAGGGAACACTGCACTTTTCATGTCCCCTGTTACAAAATACATCCTTAATATATCTGCAGTTTCTTCCTCCATGATTTCTAGTCTACATTCTTAGCAGTGGGTATGGTCTACATACTTACCAGTCAGTATCATGTATCTTTGTTTACGTACAGCATTTGATACTATTTGTACACAGAGGCAGAGGTAATATTTGTTCCATGGATCTTGTATGGTTCATATTCTTTAAATAAGATTCTAAATACACTATCTGGAAAACATGCAAATGGCACTCTTTTGCTATGTTGTTTTGTCACACATTAAAACATAACTTTTTACCGGTATGAGTTTTATAGAGAGAAGAATATATTCAGGTACAGTCTTTTTGGTCTGTAAAGCTTTTCAAGCATTTCTGATAGTTTAAAATGTCTGTGTCAAGTATTAACTCAGTGATTCTCAAGAAACTATTATGTGGATTAGTAGAAGCACCAGTGTTCTACTTCTAAACCTATAATCTGCCTTGTATTTTCCTTTTCTATCTTCTAAGATATTTAAAGGGCCAAAGTCTTTTACCAAAAGAATGTGTTTATTTTTAGATCATTTTCCAAACATACACGGTGCCACGGATCAACTGCTGTTTATTGATTTGTTGTGTCAATAATTCCATTAACTGTGCTTCATATAATTCAGAATATGCGCTACTGCCCAAACATATAGTGTGGCACCAACAGCAGGGGACAAGAAGGAATGAGCATGAAGAAATTAAAGTTCAGACAGCGCTTCCCTCATATGCTATTAAGTTACTTAGTTCCAGCACACGGTGTTGAAGGAAACTTTACTTAGTGCCTTTGTTGAACTGTTCTGACAGATTCCAACACTTAGTCCTTTAAATAATAAGTTTGGTGAAAACCTAAAAGGAAGAAAATAAAAAGAAAGTGGATTCCACCACTAGATTAATTCTGTTGTTTATAAAGAATGTCTTTTACAATTAATATTTTTTCCCCATTATGTAAGAAAACATACTGTGGGATACCATATATAGTAAACTTCAAGTTTGTATTGGATCCATCTTTGCTCTTGCTGTTTGCTCTTTCTTCTCTGTTGTCCCTGTATCCCAGATAAATATTTATTGCATTCATGTCCTTCCCTGAAGTTTAAGCCTTTGCACAAAGTCACTGACAAATTGATAGGAAACCTTGACTACACTGTATGGTAACCTCTTGGTAAACTCTTCTTCTTTTGCACTTGACACTGATTTTTTAACTTTTTTTTTAGCAGGCGTTGATAGGACAACCTCAAGTACATCTGATTATTAGTATTTATTTCATGTTAAATCTGCAGATGGTCATAGATTAATCTTCAGGGCAGAGTATACTATTGTATTGACTTATGGGCTGGATTTGGCTGTAAAATCAAATGCAAGAGATATTTGTTACTAATATGTATGTATACTTGTAAATCTCATAGAATTACAGCATCACTGAAGTTGGAAAAGACCTCTAAGATCATCTGGGCCAACTGTCAACTCATCACCACTGTACTCACTAACCATGTCCCACAGTGCCACATCTACACATTTCTTGAATACCTCGAAGGACAATTATTTCACTGCCTCCCTGAGCAGCCTATTCCAATACCTCACTATTCTTTCTGAGAATGAATTTTTTCTGATATTTAACCTGAACCTTTGCTGACACAACTTAAGGCCATTAACTCTTGTCCTGTTGCTGCTACTTTGGAGAACAGGCCGATTCCCACTTACTTTCAGATACTTGTTGGAGTGAAACATAGTGATACACAAGTCTTTTCAGCAAGGAAAGATACAACTATCCTCTCAAAAAGTAAACTTTGTTTATGAGATGTTGTTGTAAACGATGTAAGCTAAGTTTAAAGAAAAGAAAAAAATGTCAAATTGTTTCATTGGATTTTTATCTGGTGTCTTTGGATTGTATGTGATATCTTCAATACCTTTTGAAGTATCTTTGAATGGATTCTCCACATCACTGCATTGAATAGAACAGAGCTATAAGCTACAGACAAAAAACATTAAGGATGTAAGGATCTAAATGTAAGGATACATTTAGAAATGGAGACTCACTCAGCATTAATGTCAATTGTCTCCAGTTAGGATAAATCATTATGTGCACAGCTCTCTTTCCCTAAGCAGAGGACAAAGTTCTCAGTTACTCCCTCAGTTTAGGTTTCTTTTAGTTGTAGAATAACAGCAGAGTTGAAACTGAGTTGCTAGTGGCAGTGCAGTTCATGCACAAGTTGCTCTATTTAACAGCATTTCCTTAGAACTGCTGTGCTGTAAGCAGGCTGTTAGGTGTGCTTGCTCAGTAGATGATCTTGGTCTCAATGTGTTGAGTAAATCAGCACTTTATAAAGGATTTATAAAGGATAAAGGATTTATGTATTTATAAAAGCACAAACTTACAGTGCACCAACAGATTGAGAGTTTTCACTAGATGTCCATCTGGTGGGGAACTACCAAGGTCAATAACTTGGGGTTTTCTTCTATTGAAATGTGGTCTAAGTGAGAAGAGGAGGTATCAAAATAGACTTTGGGGTCTTGAGGTCTTCAGATGACTCACTGTTTCCCATTTATTTTTCTGTGGTGAATGATTGTTTGTTTGACTGCAGATTTCCAAACTCTTGTGGGCTACAAGAAAATAGTTGGTGTCTGTCATTTCACAAGAAGAATCTTGGTCTTATATATTGTAGCTGGAGAAAAGTGTTATAGTCAGTGTGTCCCTTTTTTGAGGGACAGAATGCAGTAGATGGTGGCCATGCTGCAGTTCTCATCTGGTAGATTCAGCCTGTGGTGGGTGAAGGTGAGAAGGCTAGGTGTGTGTGCTATGATGTAGAAGATATATTTTTGAGTGTATTAAGGGAACCAGAAAAGAAAAATGCCATTGATCACCACTCCAGGGCAGCTGTCTTTCATATCCATAAATGACCTGTCAAAAAGATCTCACATACTTCTCCTTTTCTTAATATGAAAATTTTGGTTGTTTTGTTTTTCTCTTCAGATTGGGCCTTTGATTGGAGATTCTGTGATGCTTAGCATGGAATCGTAGCAGGTCTTGAACTATCTACCTGCAGCTATGGCTATCCCTGCCTCTGTTGCCCTGTTCTCAGGAGAAATCAGCTTCACTACATTGTGAAATCTAGAAGGCTGAACTTCACCGGAGCATAGTTTTCATTCCTGATAGTCACAGGCCATTGTGACATAGGGCCTTGGCAGGTTCAGTCTGGCACTTGTACATTCCTGGTCACTATGCTGCTTCCACATCTACTTTGCATTCCAAGCTAGTGCTGTACAGGTGGGGCATCTCAATATTTTGAGGTGAAACCATAAAATGTTACTGCCTCAAAGGATGAGCTTTCACGCAGCTGGTGCTTTGCATTGTTTAAGCATTGGGAACGTGCAGTTACTCACTGAACTCCTCCAAACTACGTTTTACTTGTAAGAAGCCATTCTTACATTCTTAAGCAACTGTTAAGTGACTTCACTAACAATCCTGTAAGAACCACTGTAATGTTTATGTGGATGCAGTATCAGATTTTCTGGTTTAAACATTTTGTCTGTCTTTTAATTGTCATCTCTTTTTTGCCTTTTATTCTATTTTAAAATTTTGAATATTCTCTTTATTCTCTTCTTTTTTTTCCAGAGCATCTTTTCACTTTTTTTTTTTTTTTTTTTTTTTTTTTTTTAAATAAAGTTATAAATAAATATGACTTTAGTGAAGAGTAAATGTAATTTTGGGAAGTCTGTTTTTCGAACTAAAATAATATTCATGTGGGTGTGCATTACCCATTTCAGTAAAATTAAACTCTGCCATAATACACTGTTATTATAATCACATTTCTAAATGCTTCCACTCCACCCTTGCTATTTTCTCTGCCCACTCTTCTTCTCCTTTACCCAACCCTCCTCCTCCCTCCCCCCAAAAAAGCATTCATTGGATTTTACATGTCTGCTTTATTGCATAACAAAGATACATATATAATTACTTAAAATCAAGGACTAGTAGCACAAGCACATGCATAGAATGCCATTAAAACCAACGACACAGGAAGGCTATAGCCAACTACTAAATCTGATACCAGCATATCTAGCCCCTTGTACCTTTCCTCTTTCCCCATCCTTCACACCTGCTTTACCTCACACTCTTTTTGAGGAGCTCCTATCCCTTAGCTTCTTTTATGTCTTTCTGTACCTTTATTTTCTCCTTTTCCTCTACACCTCTTTCAGGCGTACACACACACACACACATATATATAAAACACCTACTTGTCTGTGCTTTCCTGTAGAAGCTAGAGTCACTGTTGGTGATGGTCTTGTTTCAGTTTTGAACTGCATAAGCATGTTTTGGTTTTGTTCCTGTGTGTTGCTCTTTTCCCCCTGAAAAAGTGCAGTAGAAGTGAAATTTCAGTTTCCAATATTTTATAACTCACCCATAACTGAAAGTAAACCTCACAGAGAAAGTACATTTCTCTCTCTCCTGCTTTAATTCTCATGCTGAGTTTGTAAAAACCACTCTAAATAATGAGCTGCTTCACAAATGTTTTCTATTTTGAAAGGCTTCTTAGATAACACAGTGAAGTGTTATAGTGAAGTGGCTACTGCAGCTTCTGTGAAATTGCATTGGAGATTATTGTTCCTGTCTGGCTCTGTATTAGCTTCAGGAAATGTGATTCCAACAGACATGAAAAACAATGGAGAAAGCATAATTATACAGACACTATGCTTACCTGCAGGACTCACAGCAAAATTTTATGTTTCTCACATTATTGTGGCACCTGTGAGAAAGTGGAAAGATAATTGTGATCATAATGAGCATCTCATCCAGACTTCAGGATAGTTCTGTATATTTTTTTGCATGTGCATTTTAATTTGAGAGGTTTGAATTTCTCTATTAATTGCTAGTATAGCATAATAGAGAAGATAGATAAGTTAAATTTCTGTTCTATTTGTGAAATATCAGAGCAGAAAATTAAACCATATCAAGTTTTAACTGAAACGTTTCATATCATCTTGCTCTAGGTTGTTGGAAGAGGAGCCTTTGGTGTGGTCTGCAAGGCAAAATGGCGAGCTAAGGATGTAGCCATTAAACAGATAGAAAGTGAATCTGAAAGAAAAGCCTTCATTGTAGAGGTACAGTAAATTTTTTGGCAATCACAGATTTTGGCAGAGCTTGTTTTCTTTACATGTCAAATTTGAGTATTAAAAGATATGTCTGTTTTACAAAGTTCCTGTGGCCTATGGTATCCAGTACAGTGCTAGTTAGGACAGTTAGAGTGCACTGCACCTCCTTTAGCTCACTCCCATAAAAACTGGGAGGAAAGAAGAAAAGAGAGGCAGGGGAAACACTGCTTTTTGGATTCTGTCCCAGTGTGACACCAAGTGACAGCTGAAATACCCATTAGCATCCTGGAGCTGATTACTTCCAGGTACTTGAGCTAGAATCTTCATTCAGCAGCTTGAATCATGCTGTCATTTTTGTGTGTAGATTTGTTGATACATGGAACCACTGAGGACAAATCACTTGTCCATTCAATGTTTATTTCCTTAGAAAGATTTTGAGTAGCTCAGATACACTGATAAACTTCCCAAAATGTATAATATTTTCTAGATTTGAGTTCTAAGTATTTTAAATGAGATGTAAAGAATGTCATGTTGCTTAGTAAGAATCTACAATTTTCAAGAAAGACAAAACTTATTAAAATAAATCTCTCAGACACTGAACTACAAATGTAACATATTTAAGGACAAAAGGAAGCATATTTGTTACAGGTCTCTATGTAAAAATGCTGTTTATTACCATTATAAGTTTTCAGTGTTTCTAATCTGAGTCTAATTTAGTACTGAGTACATCGGATGAGTCTCTTAGCATTTTTGTGTTAGAAGGAGATCTGAGAACCCCAGAAATTTTTAATAATTACTGGGATTCAAGAAGACCTACACATGCAAACATCAGATGTAGTATTCCAGTTTTATTAGAACTTCCAAAGTACGCAGAAAAAGTACCGTTAGATCCCTAGACCAAATAGCAAAAAGCATAAACTGCCTTAGAAGTCTATGGAAAAGAAAAAAAATTCCTTTTGCCTTTCCTTCTGTCTAAAGGTGAAGAAAAATGTAGTGCAAAATAGTTTCCTCTCTGTAGTAGGCATGTTTCTAAAAACTATCAGAACAAGCAGCAATAGGCTCTTGGAACTGTGTCACATTAATATCAAACCCAGTAGTATATTTTATAGGCTTGTGGCATTTTTTTTCACAGAGGAGTAGCTTGCTTTATTGCTTATAAAGCCATTATGATTCAGGTTACTTACGGGATTAGGCAGTCTGACTTGAAGGAAGGATACAAGACTGCAAAACCTTTAAAAAGCCGAAGTTACACAGTGCTTATGATTTGAATGTTCTTACTACTCCAGAAAAGAAAACTTTACATTTCATTTCTTGAAAATTTCTTTTAAATTCAGTTTAAATTAGATACAGTTCTAATTATATAAATTAAAATGTAAAAAATGGCCCTAGTCTTGTAATTTCTCAAATCACCATTGAGGTTTTTTTAGGCAGACACATAAAACTTCAGTTGCTGTTGTTGTGTATGAACTATACAGCATTTTTTTTCCCATGGTTTGAAATTAAGTGTGATTTGTATTGCAGCTTCGTCAACTGTCACGAGTAAACCATCCCAATATTGTCAAGTTATATGGAGCCTGTCTAAACCCAGTAAGTTATATCTTTGTCAGTGCAACAAAAGGTAACTAGCTTACCATATGCAAGCATCAACCACAAATGTGTAATCTATATACAAAAAAGTGTGCTTTATATAAATTTAGTATGGTTAAGCCGCAAAAGGCTTATTGGTGTAGATATAGATAGAGGTGTATAGGTTGTTTGATATTTTCAGATATGTTTTCTGTTGTTGCTTTCTTCCTCTGTTAGGAGAAATAAATTTTTTCAGGGTAATCCCCCCAAAAACATTTTTAAACACTGTTTATATTTCAATTTGTCAAAATGGCATCTAGCGTATTACATATGCAGTGTCATTCAGATGTGTAGTCCCATTAATTGCAAATTAAATTGCAAAGCAGAAATTATATATATTAGCAACACATTAATCATAGCTTAGAAATCAGATCCTGTTCTTGTATATGCACTTTTCAGGATTTGCTGTCTTCTTGCCACAGCTGCAAACCGTCTCACAAATTCTGAAAGCAGAAGAGAAAGTACAGTCACAGGAAAAATACATCCTTAACTAATTCTAATGAGGAATTTACAATTGGTTAAAACGCTGGATCACTTTTTTCTTGGAACTGATTACATTCTTTTGACATAGTATTTAAAACTATTGAAAGCCATTCTGAGGAAATAGTGAAGGCAAATTAATTGCAGTATGAAGACAGTGTTCGATTTTCAAGATGAGCTAGGAAAGGGAGAAAGTGCATTCCCTTATTTCCTAACTTACAGTGCAAATTAAATGTTAAGCTAAATTGTATTTATATTAAGCCTGACTTACTGTGTACCTCACAGTTAGATGTTTCTATTAGCTTAGGTGTGGAACATTGCAGATCCTCTCAAAGAACTTTTGGTTTACAAAATCTGTTTTCTGTCCCTCCATTTAAAACATCCATATTTTCTGTCTCCTCTCCTCAAAGGTGTGTCTTGTTATGGAGTATGCTGAAGGAGGTTCTCTATACAATGGTGAGTATCATTTTAATATGTCTTCCTGGAGCTGAAGTGCCGGTGCTAGGAAAAACGTCTTAAATATAATGTCACTTCATATATATGTCTCAAACGAATTTTGAAGAGAAAGATGTGTGCTTCTAAAAATTACTTTTAAGCCTATTAATTTGTTTATTGATATCAGCTTGGTAATATTTGTAAAAGTCATTTTAAGGTTTTTCTGTGGAAAACTTCATCTGAAAAAGCTCTTACTTACATGTAAATTCCCATTATAGTTGTTTAACACAGACTTTATCTCTTCTTGAAAAAAGTAACTTCTTTCATATTGTTAATCACTGGTTGGCAGAATTCTAATAAAAGTATTAGGAAGAACATACTAAAACTTAGATACCATTTTGACATTTCCATTAATTTAACAATTTGCAAAAGGACACTTTTAGTTGCAGTGATAAGTATGTAGGTTCTGTACAGCTTTCTGACTGGTATGTTGTTAACTCCATTGTATCTGTTGTAATATACAATAAAGTTCTTTTTAGTTTGTGCCTTTGTTTTGCAGTGCTGCATGGTGCTGAACCTCTGCCTCATTATACTGCTGCACACGCGATGAGTTGGTGTTTACAGTGTTCCCAAGGAGTGGCATATCTTCACAGTATGAAACCAAAGGCCCTAATTCACAGAGACCTGAAACCACCAAAGTAGGTTTATTGCACCTTTAATTGGTAATACATTTATTGGAGGTACTGTATTTTAAATGAAAACCGTGTGTTTGAAGCTTCAGATACAGAGCGATGGTGCATGGTACAGGAAACAATCTGTAGTCACTATATTTCTGTTAAACCAGAAAAACATCTTGCTATTGCCCTTTCTCACAGGAGAGGATTTTCCTAAGGATAGGGCTCCTAATCAGAGGCATGTAAAGCATCCCAATTTTACGACGGGTAGTGTTATTTGATAAGAGAATATTGGGTTGGTTGGTTTTAATGTTGTATTTAATTTGATATTGTCATATTTAATCTGATATGATCATCTTATTCTGCCTCCTCTTGTCTGTTCCACTACCCATAGCCAAAATTTCTCATCTCTTTCCAGTTAAATAAAAATGAATATCTATTCTGTCCAGGCAGTTTGTTGATCTTACTCATCTTAGAACCATACTACCTTCAGATCTGGTTCCACCGGTTTGCTGGAAAAAGAGATTTGCAGGATCACCCACTTTTGGTGGGTGCCAGCACTTCTACCAGATAAAATGACAGTGTGAAGTCACACTTTGAATCTTGAATTCTTTCTTGTATCACCAGTTTTGATTAAGATTTAAATAACTACACTGATTGACATTAATGGGAGTCTTAATCATCGTTCTTTTGGCAAAAATTTTTGCAGCACTTATTTTTCATTCTCTCCCATCTGAAAGACTAAATTTTATCAGTATATGCTATGCCTGAGAATATTTAAATCTAGCATGGAAGAAATATATATGGTGTAGAAGCATGAATAAATAATGGAATATATTTGATTTTAAAACTATTTTGTATGCTCAGATTAGATACAAGTGTTCTTACTTATTTCTTAGATTACAAAACTAAAGCACAGAGAAACAAAGCCCCAGATACTCATTTATATTAGAATAATTGTTAGGATAAAAAATTCCTTGTTTTATCACCAGGCTATTTCATCCTACAGTTTTGAATTTTTTTAATTTATTTTGTTTCCTTGACAGTTTGCTCTTGGTAGCTGGGGGGACAGTTTTAAAAATCTGTGATTTTGGTACAGCCTGTGATATTCAAACACACATGACCAACAATAAGGGAAGTGCTGCTTGGATGGCACCTGAAGTTTTTGAAGGTAACAATAATTTATGGTGTTGTTATTGTACATTCTTTTTAGGGATGCAACTTTGAATGTATTTGTATAGGAAATAAAAGCATCATTTAATTATACTTCTGTTTCAATCATCATATTAAATTTTGAGATAGCAATTGAAAGTGTCTTGGCAGAATCCTAACTTTTATTTTAAAACCTGCATGTTTGTATATTACCAAATAATTGTGCAAAGTTTCAAAGAGCAGCACCAAACAGACTATATCATGTTAGTGTTATACCATTAATTACT